TTTTCGGGAATCCAAACCCGAGTTACCCCGGACCCGAGTTACCCCGGATAAATCGGGCGCCCAGAGCCCCGAATCATCAGGGGTAACTCGGGTCAGGGATAACTCGGGTTCGTTTTTCGGGAATCCGAACCCGAGTTACCCCGGACCCGAGTTACCCCGGATAACTCGGGCGCCCAATTCCCGGATCGGCGCTCGACCGCCCCCCTTGGCGCGCGGGGCGCGCCCAGGGCGGCGCGGCGCCGGAGGCGCCGCCGGGGAAGCTCCAGCGCCGACCCGAGAGGTCCGCGCGGAGCTGTAGAGGTTTCTGTCGGTGCGTTGTTTCGTCTTGGAAGGTGCCCGCGTGCGTGCTCGCCACCGCGGCGGTCGCGATCGTCCTCCGCGCCTGCTGTCGGGCCGTCTTCTCGGGCGGCACCCTGGGCCTCGAAGACCTGCGGGCCGAGGCCGCGAACGGGATGGTCACGTGCTCGCTGGTGGCGGGCAACCAGTTCCTGCCTGGCGTGGCCTCGGCGTGCATGCGGGCGCTGCCGTGCTTCCACACCCAGAAGGTCTGGGTCCGTCTCGATCCGAGCGATCCGATTCGATCCTGACGTGCCGACGATCTGCTGCTGAGGGGGCAGGGGGAAGCCGATGTTCCCACGATGCGATGGTCCGATGAGGGGGTGGAGCGCATGTGCAGCAGGCATGGGCGAAGAAAGCACGGCATAGAGCATAAACTGGCGGAGATCCGCGCTGATCTCTTGGGTCGGGGCCGGCCCCCCCCCGGGGGGCGGCGCACCTCGGCGCCGCCCCTGGCGCGCTCTGCGCGGCAGGGAGGGGTCCCAGCGCCGATCCCAGAAGTCCGCGCAGGAGCTCCGAAGGTTGGTGCTTCTGCCGAAGGCTCGTTCCTCCGAACGTTTGATGCTTATGCCGAAAGATGATGCTTCAACCGGTGTTTTGTGCCTTGGTTATTCTTAGGCTTACGCCACACCGCCGACCCCTTTGATTTTCTTGGGGGCTTCTTGGGGGTCCCTGGGGCACGTTTGGGGCGTCTTGAAGCCGAAGGTTCGAAGTCTCCGTTCCGGTTTGGGAGCCTATGGGGCCGTCTTATGGCGGTCTTGGAGGCATTTTGGAGGGTCTTCCGCGCTGTGAAGGCCGAACCATCGTATATCGAAGCCGATTGGAGGGCCTCTTGGGGCCCCTTGGGGCTTCTTGGAGGCCTCTGGAGAGCCTCTTGGCGGCCTTTTGGGGGCGTCTGGACGCCTTTTTGGAGCCTCTTGTGGTCTCCTGGGGGCCTCTACGGGCGGACGGCTGGAATGTTCGTTTCGTGGTCCCCTTTCGGGCCCCTCTTGGGGCCGTCTTGGAGCCCTTTTGGGTCGTTCTGGGCGCCTCTTGTGCCTTCTTGGGGGCTTCTTGGGAGCCTACGGGGCCGTCCTAGGGCGGTCTTGGAGGCATCTTGGAAGGGCGTCCGCGCTGTGAAGGCGGAAAAATCGCATGTGCTAGAAATGTATGCTTTCTTCAGGGAATTTGGCAATTTTGGCCTCTTGGAGGCCTCCTGGGAGGCCTCTTGGAACGTCTTGGCGGCCTCTTGGGCCGTCTTCGGCCCATGTCAGGCGTCTTGGAACGCTCTTTCGGCCCAAGTTAGGCGTCTTGGAACGATCTATCGGCGTCTCGGGGCCCTCTTGGGCTGTCTTGGGGGCCTCTTGGGCGGCCCCAGAAGCTGTCGTGGACCTCCAAAAGGAGCCCCGGAAGGGCCGGACCCCCCTGGTGAGCTTTGGCCGGACGGTCCCCCCCCTCCCCCGACTCCGGATCCGCCCTACTTTGGGGAAATTCGTAAGTAGGGCTTGGAATTTCCGCCTTAGTTTTCAAGCCCCGCTGATGCCAATATCCGTATAGGTGGATTTCCGACGCAATTTTAAGTTGGAAAAATTGCCCAAGTAGGGCGGATTTGGAGTCAGGGCCTCCAAATCGACCGGACCAGGCTCCAGGGGGAGGGGTTTGGGGAGGGGGAAGCATCTCACACGCCGATGATCCCCAAGGGGTCGGCGGATTTCGGCCCTCGGGGGGCGTTTTCCGGCCCTTGGGACGAAAAATTACCCCAGGGGGAGCGGGTCGGGACCTCTGGGAGGGGCTCCAGCGCCGATCCGAGAAATCCGCGCGGAGGTTTGACAGTACTAATTCATGTCTACGCTGTTTCTCGCTCCTCGACACGAGGCCGTTGACGGGAGCGCTATAGCCCAGTTCTTGGTCTACGAACCGGGCACGGTGTGCCGCGAGAACGCGCAGCACTTGGGGTCGGGGGCGGCCAACAGGGGGGTCATGACTGGGGGGGGTAAACATAATGACGGGGGCCATGATATCTCCCCAGCTTTCACGGCGCCTCTTCTTGCAGTGGAAGCCCATGCCAAGAAACACCCGGCTTGCCTCCAGGGTGCCATGGCTTTGTTGGGCTTCGATGGTTTCGTCATGGAGAGCGTGGCGCTCCCGCACCGAAAAATCAACGGGCGTCCTGGGGTCTCCGGGCTGGTTGTCTTGTGGAAGACCTCTTGTGGTCGAGCTCCTACTGTATGGGGGGCCTCCTGGGCTCTCACGAGGCCGTCTGGGGCCGCGTCGGAGGCACCTTGGGGCCGTCGTGGTGGCCTCGGTGGCCTGCCTCGGCCCTCCAGGAAGCCCACTGGGGCGCCCTGGAGAGCGTCAGGGCCTCAGGGCGGGGCTTCCCGTGGAAGGCTTCGTGTGGTCGGGCTGCAGTGCGTCCCCGGCCCGCCCCCCCCCCCCCCCCGGGGGCTGCGCACGTGCCGCGCCGGCCAGGACTTGCGCCCCCCCCCCTCCTGCTGCTGCTCCTCCTCCCCTCCTCCTGCTCCTTCCTCCATCCTCCTCCTCCTCCTCCTCCTCCTCCCCTCCTCCTTCCTCCTTCCTCCCCTCCTCCCCCCCCTCTCCTCCTCCTCCTCCCTCCTGCTCCTCTCCTCCTCCTGCTCCTCCTCCTCCTCCTCCTCCTCCTCCTCCTCCTCCTGCTCCTCCTCCTCCTGCTCCTCCTGCATCACGCAAGGGAGGGGCAACATACAAGGGCGGGCCATGAGGTCTCGGCGCCTCTTCTCCTGTCGGTGCGTCCCCGGCCCCCCTGAGGTCCGTCGCTGCGGGGAAACTGCAGCATGGCGAAGCGTCACGACCGGGGCCCCGGACCCCATCTCTCCGCACCAGCTTTCGAGCCAGATCGATCCGTGAGGGCCCCATGGGGCCCGGCCTCGGGCGGCCATGCCGGGTGTGAAGAAGATGCAGCGCCGGGATCTCCGGGCCCCCCTCCCTGGGCCGCGCACGTGCCGCGCCGGCCAGGACTTGCGCCCCCCCCCCTCCTGCTCCTCCTCCTCCTCCTCCTCCTCCTCCTCCTCCTCCTCCTCCTCCTCCTCCTCCTCCTGCTCCTCCTCCTGCCCCTCCCTGGGCCGCGCGCGTGCCGCCGGCCACGAGTTGCGCCCTCCCCCCCCCCTCTTGGACGCCCCTCGCTCCGCCGCCCCCGCTGAGGACGTGCGGCCTGGCGCTTCTCTTCACGGCCGCCGTCGGCCCCGCCTACTGGCTGGCGCTCCTGGGCCGCCGGCGCGGGGCGCAGCAGGCAGCCGAAGGGCAGCCCCCAAAAAATAGGAGCCAAAGAAGACAACCAACAAAAACAGCAACAACAGAAACCGAGCCAACATTCAAACAGCAGAAAATAGCGCCTACAGCATGCGCCTAGTATACACCGACCCTGGCCAGGCCGATCCTGAGCCCAGGATTGGTGTACACGCCTGCGTGCCCAAGCCAGGAGGGAGTGTGCAGAGGAATCCTCTCCAGGAGGATCCTGGGCCCAGGATCGGAGCATTCGGCCCTCGTGCCCGAGCCTCGAGGGCGTGCCCACGGACCGTGGGCCCAGGATGAGCCTGGCCAGGGTCGTCGCAAGTGTTCTACGGCAGGTCCCCGTCGTGTCGACCAGCGAGGAGGAGGAGGAGGAGGAGGAGGAGGAGGAGGAGGAGGAGGAGGAGGAGGAAAGGAGGAGGAAAGGAGGAGGAGGAGGAGGAGGAGGAGGAGGAGGAGGAGGAGGAGGAGGAGCAGGAACGGGGGACCTCGCCGCGGGCGTTCAAGGTTGAACGCCGCCAGTGGCCAAAAGTCGACCGACATGGAACAATCGGGCGATCGAAAAGCCGCCGATCGTTCCAGGTTGGACGATCCACGCGGTGTCGGAAACCAACGCCGGGGTCGTCACGACACGAGCCTGCCGTAGGACTCCTAGATGGGGTCGGGGTAGATTCAAGTCGGGCATGTCCCTTTACAGCAGGAGTATCCACAAGTAGTTGAAAAATGTCATGAGGACGATGTTTCGACTGTGTCTGACTAATTTTTGAGCATGTTTGAACTATGTTCAATTTTTCTTCCAAAATCCGCCTGTGGGAGGACATGCCAGACCTAAGAGTAGATGGGGTCGGAGGATCGCGCCGCATCGCCGATGCGTCGCCGATGCGGCTCGAGGTGGGGCCCGATTCGCTTCACGTTGACTTAGCCGATGCATCGCCGACGTCGACGATGCATCGCCGGTGCATCCCCGATGCGTCGCGGTTGCATCGCTGATGTATCGGCGACGCGGCGAGATCCTCCGACCCCATCTGCTCCGACCCCATCTGGGAGCCCTCCAAGTGTGCAGTTGGCGTGCGCCTAGGCGGGGCCCGTGAGATTTCTGGCGGGATCTTACCGCTCCGGCTTCGAGTGGTGGGAGGCTGGGCGCCTCGGCAAGACGATGCTGATCGCATCCGTCGTTACGGCATCGCCCTCCAGCTATTGCCCGCTGCAGCAGCTCATGGTTTGCCTCCTGATCACTGTCGCCTTCAACCTCTGGCACTGCTCCAGCCGCCCGTACAAGTATTGGGTGCTCAACGTTGTCGAGGCGGGTTCGCTCTTCACCCTCAGCGTTGGCATGGTGTTCTCAGGGTTGTTGGCCGGCGCCAGGTGGCCACTAACCCTTGGCTTCCAGAGCAACATAATTGCTGGCATTGCATCGTTATTAATCCTTTACTTCATGGCGCTGGTGGGCCTTTGGGTGAATGTCAAATTTTTCTGGACCGACGACGCCAACGAGGAGTCGCTCGCGGAGGACGGCCCGGCCACCGACCAGTGAGCACGCTGAAGCAGTGCAGCTCGCTTTCGGCGCTTTCGGTTTCCCCTCCCTCTTTTGCTCCTCCTCTTCCCCCTCCCTCTCCTCATCATCATAGACTCCAGCCATCCAGATGCCGTAGAGTCCACGTGCCGTGCCTGTGCAGCTCCTCGTCTAATCCTTCCTCCATCTCCTCCTGGCGCTTTCGGCTTCCCCGCCCTCTTTTGCTCCTCCTCCTCCTCCTCCTCCTCCTCCTCCTCCTCCTCCTCCTCCTCCTCCTCCTCCTCCTCCTCCTGGACTCCAGCCATCCAGATGCCGTCGAGCCCACGCGCCATGCCTGCTCAGCTCCTCCTCTGATCTCTCCTCCGTTTCCTCCCGCCGCTGCTGCTGCTGCTGCTGCGGCTGCTGCTGCTGCTGCTGCTGCTGCTGCTCCTCCTCCTCCTCCTCCTCCTCCTCCTCCTCCTCCTCCTCCTCCTCCTCTGCGATCAGAGGGCAGGGCCCGCCTGTCAAGACGGGCAGCGCCTGGCCTGCCAAGGCAGAGAGCGGCCCCTCGCCCCCTCCGCGCCCCGATTTGCTGGATTCCTCCTCCGTTTCCTCCTCCTGCTCCGAGACACCCAGGCACGGCGGGGGCGCGGGGAGCATCCAGAGCAACCCTTGACATCTCGCGCATCCCCGCCGAGTTCCATCCAGGGAGCGAGTCTTGGAGAGATCTGCCACGAGAAATGAAGCGTCTTTAGCGTCTTCGTCGTCCTTGCCGTCTTGCTAGTCGTCCTCGCCGTCGACGTCAATGTCGGCGTCGTCGTCGTCGTCTTCGTCCTCCTCCTCCTCCTCCTCCTCCTCCTCCTCCTCCTCGTCGTCGTCGTCGAGGGACGGGGTTTTGCTGCCGCGGTCGCTTCGACACGGAGGTGCTCCCCAATAGGCGTCGCATGATTCAAGCCTGAAGTATCTACGCTCAAGTTGGAACTGGCTATGTTCTCATCCGAAAATTGCCCTAATCGGCTTGCGAGAGGCGTTGGGATTCAATGCGCGGTTGCCGTGGTCGTTCAATGTACAAGTGATGTCATGCTGAATGCACGAGGTATCATGTTTGATTGATGTATCCAACTCATGTTTAGAATTGGAGTCCCCCATGTTTGATTCGACACCTGGCGCGGCTGGTCCGTTTGACGGCGGTAGCGGCCCTTGTGAAACAAAGAAGGGCGGGAGCAATGGAAACGCTCGGTATGATCGGCAGGAGTACAAGACGTGCCTGAAAGGTAGGCGCATCTCTGGTCCAGTGCCAAGCTTCTTTGTATGCGGGCGACGAGCATGCGGGGGGATGGAGCTGGGCTTCCAGAGTGTTTGGCACATTTGGATGCCGTCTTACTCTGGGACGTTAGGCCAGTCAGCACATGCATGTCTTCAACCTTGACAGACATGCGATGTCTGCCAGATGATCTGCGCACTCGTGTGGCGAAGCCTGGGCGATGAAGAGCCCTAGTGTGCGAGCGTGCGCGAGAGCAGGAAGCAACCGAGCATGGCATGGCGAGACACCTGAGGCCTCGATGCGGAGGAGAAGGAGGAGGAGGAGGTGGTGGAGGTGGTGGAGGGGAAGGAGGAGGAGGGGGAGGCGGAGGAGGAGGAGGAGGAGGAGGAGTAGAGGAGGAGATAGAGAGGAGGAGGAGGTGGAGGAGGAGAGGAGGAGGTGGTGGAGGTGGTGAGGAGGAGGAGGTGGAGGAGGAGGAGGAGGAGGTGGTGGAGGTGGTGGAGGGGGAGGCGGAGGAGGAGGATGAGGCCTCGATGCCGTGTGAGAAACGGCTTCGGTGTGTGGTCGCGTGCCTCGGGCGCGGAGGCCCTGCCGGCGGGCCCGCTCGCGCAGCTCACGCCTCTCTCAAATTCTCGCGTGGCCATGAGCTTCCTCCTCCTCCTTCTCCTCCTCCCTCCTCCTCCTCCTCATCATCATCTTCCTCCCTCCTCCTCCTCCTCCTCTTGACGAGTCTCGCTCTACCTCGGCCTGCTCGAGAGCCATACTCGACTTGGAGCTTATTCAGAAATACTTTTCGAGAGCCCCCAAGAGGCGCGGAGTACCTGTGTGGGCGCTCCCACCTTGAGCTCTGGCACATATGTACAGACAATCATACTGCTCATGTTGCGTCTTATGCACGTGCTGGTCTCGGGGCCGACAAAAACGTGACTGATGGGCACTATTCTAAGCTGCTGCTTCATAGGGTGTTTGCTAGTATTCGGTGCTGGGGAGTGGTTCCTAAGCTATGGAATTTCAGCCAGGGGTTTGCTCTGCCTAGAGCTGCTATTGCTGGACCTCGGGGTAAGCGAGTCGTTCACGGATTGGATCCGCTTAGCAAGGGGTTCTATGCTGGGATTCTCAAGGTGGGCCCGAAGTTCCAGAATTCAGTATGCGATCATGGCTTTCTTCGTTATCGCCGTCGAGAGGATGCCATTGCCGCATGTATGATCACGGGCTGGAGGCTCAATCAATCTGGAATCCAGTGGTGCGATTCCCTGAAAGATTTGTCGAATGCGTTTGCCTCCCCTACCTGGAACTCCCTGGACCAAGCGTGTCATACCCTGGCCCAACCTCGGGACCGAGCTTTGTGTAGACAGCGGTATCGCACCTCTGGCTGTATGCTTCCGTCCTCTGACGGGCCAATAGCGGTCAAGCCTGGCTGTGGAGCTTTGCAGGGCGACCCTTTCGCGGTGGCCAGCTTTGTGCGGGCATTTAAGGGCCCAGTGGATCGCTGGCTGCAGCGGTACCAGGAGCAGGACCCAGGGGAACAGTTGCTCTGGTCCACGCTACCCGCTGAGCTCGGACTTGGCACTGAACCTGTGTATCTTGGACTGCAGAAGTTCGCTGATGATCTTCTTTTTTAAAAATGGTCATTGGTCCCCCTTATAATGCTCAGAAGTTTGGCCAGCTCCTCGATTTGAATGACCCGATCTTGGATGAGGAGCTGGGTACCATCGGCCTTAAGAGGAACACAAATAAACAGGAGGCGGTCGTCTCGGTGCCCCATAGCTTTCGACGAGGTGCAGCTGCGATTCTCAGGGGCCGCGACACTCGCATCAGCAGTTCCGTCCGATACCTGGGGCCGCACATCATTCCGACACAGTCGTTCAGCACGGAACTCACGAGAATAATCGCAGTTATGAGAGCATCTGTCTATCGGTTGGGCAATTTCTGGTTCCAGAAGGGCGTCCCTGTGAGGTGGAAGCGCTGTGTACTACTATCCAATATCGTGAACACGACGCTCTCGGGGGTGGAGGCAGTTCTTCCCGGTCCAAAGCAGTTAATAACGCTCCAGTATGTTGTTACCGCCCTGGCACGCAAAGCTATGAGAGGAGAAGCGAGCTGGGAGGATGAGGAGGGCAGGAGGAGGTCTTTGTCGTCATTAGCTGTTCTCGACTGGTGGCGAATCGTACCGATCGGGATCGAGCTTCAGGTTCGGCGTCTTCGGTGGTTTCAGGCCTGTCTTCGACACCCCGCGGCACATGCACAATATCTTGCGGTTCTCCTGGGCACTATGTCTGATGGTGTGGGGGTCCTCACGGACGCGGGCACCGTTAATCCACAAGCTAATCCCTGGGCAGTTCGACTACAGGATGATATCTACACGCTGATTCAGTGGAGCTCTGATACTGCTGAATGTTGGGATCGTGCATCGGGTTCGCTCCTTCGCCTCTTCGAGTTTGATGTCGCCAAGGATTTCGCAAGGGTTGATGTCAGTATCCTTCGCAGTGCTGTTCAAACCTCAGAGGTTCCACCTCCAGGCATCTTTGTGGACTCCGAGGCTCTTGAGGCCGAGGCGTTGTGGTCGGACGACTTGCATATATGTCCATGGCCGTCGTGTCCGTCTCGATTCGCATCGCGGTCTGGACTTATCAATCACATTCGTCGCACGCATGGCACAGTGAAGTTATCGCAAGCACTCACTAAGTGCAACCAGTGCATAGCATGTCGTGAAATATTTTGGGACAAGAAAACGGCCCAGAAGCATCTTCATGGTTCGATTCTGCACGGGAGATGTCTAAGTGGCAAAGCATCTACACTTCGTGCACTCGCTCTGCCTGGCGATCTATCTTGCCTTGTATGCGGCTCAAGTTTTTTTTTTTTGACACTGGACGAGTACTGCGTCCACGCGTGCACGCATCTCCCAGTGCTCCCAGAGGTTCGTGAGCTGCGACATGGCCGAGGCCATGGAGCTCGATCTTGCGGGCGCCCCCGCGTGGATCTTCCCGCTGCGCAAGCGCCAGGGCGAGGCGGCCGAGGGCGCCCCCCCTGCCCAGACGGCGCGCACCGCCAGCGCAGCCGGGGGGCCCAGCGGGGGCCGCGGCGGAAACGGAGGTGGCAGGCGAGGAGACGACTCCATGGACGGCGCGACGTTGAAGTGGGTGGTGCGACAGACACTGGCCAACTCGAGCGATTGCGGACATGGAGTCGAGCATCGACGACACGTTTCTGATTTCAGAGCAGACGTGGCTGTCCCAGGCAGGCTTCCGAGGCAACAAGTACTACGCCGAGAGTGTCAAGCAGCTGAAAGAGAAGGCCGCCACCGACCCGTCGACGGACCTCGGCAGTCTAGGGCCACCGTGGCTCACAGTGTTCTGGATTGTCTTGGCAGAGATCAAGAAGCACTCCCAGAACGGCCATTGCAAAGACGCGGTCAACCTCTTCTGGGACACTCATGTAAAAGACAAAAAGCCCGACGAGATCGCGCTGATGGTCCGTCACTGTTCCTTCCAGGTGCCGCGCGGGGAGAAGAGCAAGCGCATGGAGGGGATGGTCAAGTTCAAGCTGCACATCGTCCTGGGCTCGGCTGCAGGTGTCGCCCTCCAGGAGCTGATGATGCGCATGCTCGCGGAGCTCCAGGCGCAGCGCCTGGTGGGCTCGGCACCCCGCAGCCAGGCAGAGCGTCATCTTCAACAGTGGCTCCAGCGCGGGAGCTGAGTTCTGAAGATATACCCGTGATTATTGGTTGGCATGGGTTCCAGCAAGCCAGGCTTTCGACTGATAGCTTGAATACTGGTGCATTGAACTTGTCTCCTCCTGGCCAGAGATCGCGAGCCTCACCTTCGGCGCCAACGCATGCTCATGCAGCTTCTGAATCGAATGAGATGGGAGTGGGATCTAAGTTATCACGTGCTGCTGCTGATGACAGGACCTGCCCCCCACCTGGGTGGAGTGAGCCACCGCCTTTCTCTAGCCAGCCTTCCTCTTCCACTCCGAACCCTTTTCGCACTCCTCCCCCTCTGCTGCTTTCCCCCAATATTGCTTCTAGTGCCCGCCTCGCCTCTCTTGTCGCTCGCGGTGCGATCCGTGACGTGAGGGTCACTGGCAGGGATGTCTTCGTGGGGAGCGGGGGCGGGGCGGCGGTGGACGGGGGGGAGGGAGAGGAAGCGCGGCTCGCGGCGGCGGACGAGGACCGCGCCCAGGGGCGCGTCGTGCCCGCCCAGGAGCCTAGGCGAGGACGCCCCCCCTCCGAAGCGGGGGGGTCAGCCGTCACGTCGCCGATCGTGATCAGTGCATGCTGGCGCCCGCAGGCACCCCTGGGGGGCCGCTCCCCCCATCCTGGGGCTTGCCTCGGGGCCCGTCGAGGCCCTCCTCGCTGCAGGGTCCTCGGGATTTAAAATCTGGATGTTGTTCGGCCTTCTAGCCGCCGCAGGGATGTGTGCTCTTTACAGCTGACTTGCGAGTGCAGGCTGTCCGTCTGGGAGCTTGAGATCGT